ACTTGCTCTGTATGAGCCAGAACTTCCACCAGCGTAAGGCCTGTCGCCTTAGAAGGAGACGCTTCTGGGCTGCAGGGGTGAATGACCTTTTGCAGTGGATCAGCATGATAAGTGGCTCAAGTTCGGTCTTGGGTTGCACACTGGCATCGAGCCTTTCTCTGGTCGGATCATGTGGATCTGGGTCTGGCACTCTAACCAAAATCCCCAGCTTATCCTGAGTTACTATCTTAACACGCTTGAGGCACTGGCCGTAAGTATTTCTCATGTCATATCACTCACAGTACCTACTTAGTTTGACCCATGTTCTAGATATGCCAATGGTGACTCAAAGCAATCCAGGATCAGAAAATTACGGGATGCAAATGCTCATACAATGCTGCGACAGTGGCACATCCATCTTTGCATGGCACCCTCCAGCATCGCTGGATGCAAAGCAAAAAGAATGTCATGCCAGAAATTGCATGGTCTCAACTGTGCCGCTGATTCACACCAGGATTTGAGAGTCTTCTAGAGCATGGTGTCAATTCTGGCTGGTATGATTCTAATAATATCTTCAAGTGTGCGCTACTTTTTATGCTTGGTCTGAGTGCTGGATATGACATTGGCCTGCAGGATGGTCTTCCATTGGATTTTTATACCATGGCTTCAGCAGGAGCTGGATGCATATCAGGATTGTGTTCACAACACTGCAAAACAACATGACTGCAACAAAGTAGGTGTATTTACTCCCATCATTATCTTCGAGTCAGCTCATGCGCCATCCAGATTCTTCCTCATGGAGTACCTAATCTCATCTATGATTCATCTGAGGACTTGGGGCCTTAGATTTCAAGGTATGTACTCGTGTTGAATTTACTGTTGGTAGTATTCTAATTGTGGCCCTACCATATTATAGATCAAAATTGAATGTGAGGCCCTAGATCATGTCCAAAATATTTACATCAAGCCCTCTCATTGCATGTTTGATCTAGTTCCAGAGGCTTTTGGCAGGTGCATCCAATGCTGCTATGATGAGCTTGGTCACCCAGTGGTCACATGGCAATCAGCTTGGAACATCTATCTACTTCTACTATGCACATTGCAGATGGCTGATGAACTACGCACCAGATTCAGCTGCTGGATGATGATGAAGATGATGAGATTTTGTACCACTTTAATGACTATCAAGATTTACCTTCTCACAAGGAGCCCAATGGCACCTATTACATGGGTGGTGTGGGTGGAGGATTAGGCCTTGGTTCGTTGTCTCTAATTCTGACAGGGTAAAATTTGTTGACTCAGACATTTGCCAGATACTGAACACCTTCATCAGCTAGACAGTCTGACAGACAATGACGAGCCCAACATCACACTGGGAATTGACGAAGACTTAGTGGGTCTTGATCATGCTGGTTTGGTGGTTTGGGAGTTCTCGGACTGTGAAAGTGAGGACGAAATGGTGAATGAGTGGTGATTTTTTCTTGTCATGTACATATAGTAATCTTGGAATTCATTAAACAAGGCGAGACGGAGGAACGTTCATCGCAGAGAAATTATTATTACTCAGAGCCAACTAATATCGGCGGTGTACGAAGTCCTACTGCCTATTATGGATGCGTGACGAGCGCGCACGTCCAGCTTTCCATATTGCCCAGCATAAGATGGCATCGGGAAATCACGAGATGACTTTTTACCCACTTATATGCAATAGCTTAGTGCAACTATTGGTAATTATTGGGTAATTATCAAAGTTAATTTTAGTCAAGTTAACACGGGAGATTTTCCTTGATGCGGCATGTCACACCTACGTAGGCTGAACGTTCGCGTTCTTACAGTAGTAGTAAGTATTACTGCTCACCCTTACCACCAGCTGTTGTGCTGAATCTTGCGAGTCCTTATGTACATGATCAAGAAGAGCTTTAGAGGATCGTTTTTCAGGTCTGGAATCCACGTTTGGAATAGGCTCTCTTTGTCATTACTACAGAACACTCGCTCAAATACTCGATCTCTCATCCCATTCTTCACTCATCACGAAATTGCAACCTAGGACAAACAGACATAGATATCCTATGCCGTGCAGGTAAGTCATGTGGCTGAGCGCTGAATCCTGGTAGCACAGTGACGTGCTTATACTCACGTTTTCAAATACGCACTCCATGGTGTCGTAGCAGCAATCAGATGTTACTCTGCAATATGTTATGCTACATTCTTCGGATGCTCTGACAAGCATAGATGCTGACAAAGAATAACGATGGCAAGCCAGGAAGAGCGCATCTTGCGTACGAGGTGATATGGAATGTTTTGAGGAGGATTTCTCTGATAATGGGAGAACACTATAAGACGACGGCCAGTTTTTATATCTTGCGTTTAAATTTCCGGTCTCTTGTTCCGATCTCATTATTTTAACCTGCAGTGACTTTGCCCTGCCACTGGCTGCCAGGTGTCATTTCGTCACCATTTGAGGTTCAAACACATCTAATGATATTAAGGTTATAGCTAGTTTCCGGTGCGCCCGGCTGCTCTCACAAATCATTGTTCCGACATCAATGATAAATGATGTTAAGGAATGTGAAATTTCCTATTGTTTGTCCTCGTCATCACCACAGACACTCGCTCGAATATCCGGTCTCCATCCCGATCTCGCACTCATCACGAACCCGCAATTTGCCTAGTGACGCTGTTACGTCAACGAGGTTGAGCTAATCCCTCAACTTCTCAACCTCGGTCGATGTGCGTCATCACGATTATGGTTTGAATTGGTAGCGAGCGTGCCGTTCGAGCTGCCGGCTCAATTTTCAACTTAGACGAGCAGACTAGAACAACTCTTGTAGCCTATGGCGTGCAGGTGAGTAACGCATTTTCTGTGCGAGGTGATGGGGAATCTTCTGAGGGGGATCCCGACTCATATTTCTGAGGATGGAACACTATAGCCTATAATATCCTGCGTATAGCCCTTCTCCATAACGATTTTATTTGGCCCTTTTATTTCGTGACAGTTCGTGCAAAAGCTTCCGAGATAAAATGCAAATAAAATGAACAAGCACGTTCGGCACGCACATAGCGGTGCTTGAAATCGGCTAAGTAAGCGAGGCGCAGGGGTTTAAAATTGTGCTCACCGGTGCAGGCGTCGTGGAAACAGGTTCACGCCACCATGGCAGATAGTTCCCCGCAGGGCATAACGTCTCTCGAAGCACTTTCCATTATCTTACCGGCGATGCAGAGACAACCGGATGACCAATTATTTACAGCAACAATGGCACTGCAAGCACTCGACGCGAAACAACGAGGCTGTCATCATGCTTACGAAATAAAATGGCCATATAAAATCGTTATTGAGTAGGGCTATTGATTCGTGGTTACTTGAACTTGCAGTGACCCTGCCAGCGCATAGCGCTACCATGGTTCGATCCGTTTGTTTGGGTCAGTTCTCCATCACTCCTTAGATCAGTCTGAACCCATGTTGTCAATTGTCTTTTCCGAGTCGGCTCCAAAACATTTTCCTTCATCTAGTGCATTAGGAAGGTGTGTCGCGCTCACCGTTTGAAATTCCACAAGAGCCTCTTTGCCGGCTGTCCCCTACAGATTCACAACGCGGTCTGCAATATTTAAGACAGGGTTGAATGTCGTGCGGATAGGTTGTCGTCCAAGCAGGTGTGATAAGAACCGCTGCAGCTGGGGCTAGAGCTTAACAATGACCCGCTATGCTATGCAGGTGTTAGTTGACCCAGCGGCGTTGTGTTTAATCTATACCCCAGAGTCCGTCATTCAGGAGCGCTTCATCATGCGTTCAAGTTTGTCAAGGACATCAAGGATAGCCTGAGATTGTGAGAATGGTTCTTCAATTACAAGAGTACGGTATTGTCACGCTGCCAACACAATAAATATTGGCACACTATGTAGAATGAATTCGTTTTTCTTACACTGTATGTAGCAGTCTGAATCGCCTTAAGTGTTCTTGAACACTACTCGTATTTATCGCTTAACACGGTAAGCCGGTTGCTTACGTATACCTGAGTTCCCATATTAATTATTGGATAATCAATGAACATTTCACTGGCCCTTTTGGCCCAATTTTGGCCTAAACGATCCATTAGCGTAACCGTCAAGGGGCGACAGTTTTGACTACTTACATCAACTCGCAGGTCTTTCATGGGGTCTCTCAATGCTCCATTCGTGGTCTTTGGATACGGCTCACTGATATTCAAAGTGAGGACAGACAGCCACGAAAGGTGTTACTAACTAATCAGTGCGATCACTGGTGGTATCATAGCCCCCACCACATGTCCAATCTCAGAGTAAGCGATCAATCCATTTCGCTTAGAAAATACGTTATGAATCTGGCTTTCTGTAGCCTCCGGATTCCTCAAAGGCTACATAAGGCGGTTCGCTCAGAAATCGCACGATCATCGTGGCACACCCGAGGTGTGTCCTGGCATTCATCAATCATCATACACTTCAGCGGAACTCCTGACATAGTATTGATCGTAAAATCGCAGAATCCAGGGCGTGTGGTGACTCTTATTCACAAGGAGGATTGGGATCGTTTTTCCCAGTCTGTGAGTCTGTCTCTTCAAGCTTATCCTCTAGGATATCCGCAAACACACTAGACACTAGGATGCATTTCCGGATGAAGATATCGTTTGGGGCGAGGGCTTTTCATCCGATGAAGATTCTCTTCTTGCTGATAATATCCCTCTCCACAGGCATAGCGTACACGATTGACCCGGAATATGAAGCAGAAGTTAGGGATTACTTGGGTGAGTCCAATATCACCCATGATGGTTCCGTCATAGTTCGTATTGACACTTGAGGTGCCCGGAAAGATTACAGAGAAAAGGTATGTCGCCCAACAGAACTGGGTATCCGACCATCCAAGGTAGCATAATGGACCAGGACGGATACACAATGGAAACGCTGCATGTCTACACCCTAGAGAATGGGATAGAGAAAATTGCAATTCAGGATGTATGTAATACACTTTACTTGTTTCACCTACCTGTCGTTGATCCCTTGACTCAGGCTTTTGTACGTGTTGTGTTTCTAATCGAGTTGTGCCGATCTCACGAGGAGCAAGTGTTATGTCGGTCGGCCAGATAACCCGTCATTCAGTGAGCATCCTACTTTCCTCTCTTGAATTCAATCTACTAACGATGAGATCAGTTGGTTCAGAACCATTAGAGGACTTGGCACAGCGGATATGGGCCTCCGAGGGTCCCTCTGGACAGAATAAGGTTCGTAAAGCTTTTTCTATCTCAGAACAAATTTGAGACTATCTCCCACAGGAATATCTGTATCGTTTGGCGGAATCAGTTCATCAGCTTGCACCAGCATCATATGACTCGCACCTGTTTGCTCTTGAGGTAAGTCCGCGGGCGATTATCTGAACAGGTGAGCCATTGTTGATGTTTTCTTTGAAGAAACGACTACGAGAGCTCGACAAAACGGCAATTGACGAACAGTAGTCGGCCATTTTGTTGCTGGATATCACTAACTTGAGCGTGATGCGACTCATTTATCTACATACATACCTCAGATATATACTGGAATACAGCACATATATCCTACTCTATCGTTTTGTACCATAGCGATGAGTTGGCTTCAGTGATCGGTTTTGCATACAGACACGGAAACGGCACCCTCAGTCAGTCACCAGTAACCTTCTGAGAATAAGTTCTATAGTCTTGTTCACGCGGGTTAATGTCAACAATATCATAGGGTTGAATCTATAGTAGTTCATAATGGAGACATTCTGTGCCATCATCCCCCTCTGATTGCGCCATCTATCCGGAGCGGCTTCGCCGAGAGTGACATCTTTAGTAGCACTCGGAGTCCACACGTCCCCTGAATACCCCGCTGCGCAGCTTTGAAGTACCAGTTCAACAGACCAGCACATACTGATAAAACTATCCCAAGATACATTACTTAAGCTTTTGCAACTTGTTTCTAACAAGAAATAGTTCTTTAGAATAATAAATTTTCGAACTCAACACTGGATCTATTTCATGAGAGCAGAGGGCGGGATAGACACAGCTATCATCCCGCGAATGTGCGTGCCTATTTTGAAAAGGAAAAGACGAATACTCGATCGATTGAATACAAGATATAATTTTACGATACAATGAAGCAAGCGACGAGTTAAGATACCGAAAACAAAGAGATTCGTCCGATAGCTACAACAAAGTCCGACAGCATACGATAGCGTACGCCCTGTGAATGAGGTTGTAAACATCATATTTTGGGGGACGGGCTGAGTATCGCGCCGTAGCGAGGATTCGGATAATTGGTCTCGGAAAGTGGAGTGGATGGTAGGAGAGGTGTCTCGCGCAACAGGGGTATCCGGTCGGAAGACGTCACTCGCGTTAAACTTCGCTCTCGCCCCTCTCGCTCCACAATCCTTAAAATATGACATATTAACAACAGGTGTGAGAAAGTTAGAAGGGAATACGAACCCTCGCATTATAGTAGCCGTAGTCATTCGCTTCGCACGTTTTTTACTCTGATTATCCTCGTATCGATCTGTTTCATCCACGATTTCTTCTGATATGATTTCCTGCAAAACTTTGTTAACTTTGGATATAAACTGGTCCAAGTCAGACGCACCTCAATGATGTCTTAAACATGAATGTCAGTAAGTAAGGGAACAGAGCTGTCTTGGAAAACACACCTTCGAGTGTGATCACTCCAATTCCACCGCCTGCAGTGCCAGGTGTCCGACTAATCAGTAGTAAGTGGGCGCGTCCCGTTTGACTGCAACACATTCATCAGAGCTGCAGAAGTTCAAGTGAAGGTTCTTACAAGTAATCCAGCGCCTGGAAACAATTTATACTTGGATGTGCTTCGGGAAGAATCGAAAGCTTGAAATCCGAGACTGGGAGAGCGCGCGCGGGGTCGTATACCAACAGCTGAGAAACAACCTCAACGTTTAGGCAGACTGACGCGTAACATCGAAAGTTACCTTTTTGATGAGCAGAAGCCCTTGGAATGATAGTGGATTCCCGGGTTCATGTATAGGAAAGCGTGAGTAGCCACTTGCGAGACTGAGTGAGCTGTTAGTCAAACTAACATCAGAAAACTGGAACTGTGATGTTTACATTGCGTCTACTGTGTTGTGATCAAGGATGGTGTCTGAGCTCAGCGTTACGACGTCCTACCGTCCCGAGACATATGAGTGACATACTCCCATATTTCCAATGCAAACACTTACCTTGATGGGTGTCATGATTGTCTCCACATTCTTCGTATTGAGCTCCAGCACGCCATTCAATATGCTGATCTCGTCATCCCGTAGCGGTTCCTCTCCCGTGCGATGGAACTGCAGAAAAGATTTGAGCTCAGCCTTCTTGTACGTATGACCCTCATTCTGGCCTAGAACGTAATCGAGGAGCTTCGCAGTAGGGTATGCGATGGGAGCTATGTTCCATCCGGAGTTATTATGACTTCAACGCGATGTATGTCAGCACCACTTACCAAACAAATACATCAGGCAGAGCACGAAAGGCGCACATCGTGCGCCAATTGCGAGGCCATATCTGACGCTAACAGCCTGTGGAATAACTCTGCAGAAAATGATGAGGTCGACTGGATACTTCTACTTTGTGTGTCACGTACTCTCTGCGGAAGAGAAGAACATGTCGTCTGCTCAGCAAGTCCAACTCCGAGAGGGGCGAGAACATACCCAAAAATGACTATGATCAAAAAATTAGCGGACGATGAACTCACGGGCACATATAAGAGATCATACCTATCGCTGTGGTAGAAATTACGACAGCCGCAATGCCTCCACCAATCTATGTAGCGCGAATAGGATTTATTAATCGGCGAGAATCGTATCAATCGATGTTCAAGAATTCTGCTACTTACGGCACCATCAAGAAAGATCGGCAAACTTTCGTTGATGACCTGTGGGTGTTAAGCTATTACAGACACGGGGACCTGAGATAGCCACTCACAACGTTGCCCAGAAGAAGTACCTATGATGAAGGATAAGATATTTGTGGGTGCACGCGCGCGTATCAACATACCACTAATACCCAATGCCGACCTCTCTGCATCAGTCTCAATACTGGTCGTGTACCAATTTCATCAACTCAGAAATGAGGGCTGCTTGGCAACGCACCTTTTTGCGCATTGCGTTTCTCCGTCAAGTCCTCTGATGACGTAGCCAGGACACGCAGGTGCAATTCATCCAGCCCCATCAGTCCGAGAGTTAATCTATGACAAGAGTTTGAACATGACACAAAAGGACATAGACTGCATAGGCTCACCCTGCAAATACACCTCCGGCAAGCACAAGAACAGCACTGATGGCAATCCTGCACCAGAAGGCAGTTGAATCCACTGGCTCTCCCTTAGGGGGCTCCACTGAGAGCAGCGAGCGGGCGAGAGTGATGATCATGGGCAGAAGAAACAACAAATCCAAGGAATTTTGAACGTAATAAAAGCAGAATAGAAGTCTTGGCAAAACCTACTATTTGATTCGATCCGAGGTGGCCGGTGATAAGTACTAAATGACGCGAGTTGGTGACGGGTTGGAGAAAGTAAAGCTTAGTCACGTGTGGATTTCCTAGTTCGGAACGTAATTAGTAGCAATTTTATTTGAGACTAGCGGGCTTGGTATGAGTGTTGTTACTCTTGCGAACACCACCCACACCATTGCAAGGCTTATAGCTCGTTCGCATCGCGTGCGTCCACCGCAAACCTATGCTCCTGGTCTACTTTGTAACGTTCGAACCAGTTTTTTTTGCCAGTCCAAGACACTATCAGGTGCAATGTCTACCCGTGTGAGATCACCGACAATCGATCCCGAGGTTCCTGCCCCATTGGAGAAAAAGATTCGATTGGAGGAGCATACCATGGATGAGTCAAAAGGAGATACGAGTGTCCAAGTAGTATCTGGGCCTTCCAAGAAAGTGTCGAAATCAGCGAAGAGGAAACAGAAGCGTGTCTTGCCAGAGCCTTACTCCTCAGAAGATGTCCTATGGCGTGACATAGTCGCACTGCTAGGAGATGATACAGTCGATCGTGCTCTGCAACACGGCACCGAGTGGGATTCGCCTTTTGATTTCCGTGAAGAGGTGGAGGTGGAGGTATCTGCATTATCTTCCAATGGTGCGGATAAGGACGTTCCCCGTCTGTCTATTGATTTTGACTAAGCCTTATATACACCAGGCGATGCGCTGGCACGTTCCCCTGCATCTTTTCCTCCTTGGGTAATCGTTGCACCATTTGCATTACCAGGGGAACGAATCCGTGTTCGAGTTTATCGCAGTTCGCGTCTACATTCATTTGCCGACCTTGTCGAAGTCCTATCACCGAACCTTGACCTGCGCGACGATGGCCGTGCGAAGTGTCGCTACTTTGGTCAATGTTCTGGTTGCCAGTATCAGGTTAGTTGCTTGATGATCATATCCGGGCGCTGACCATATGCAAATGTTAGATGCTTTCTTATGATACTCAACTCGGAATCAAGCGCAGCGTAGTCATCAAGGCTTATGAAAATTTCTCAAGTACACCTTTCCTTTTAATCTTTCTGATACCTTCACTCACGTGATCAGACCTTCCCAAGGAAACTATCCCAGAGGTACTTCCAACAATAGCCTCGCCACTTCAATACGGCTATCGTACAAAAATAACACCGCATTTTGAGGCCCCACCAAAAAAAGCACGCAAGGAAGCTGAAACTAGCTCGACCAATTCAACAGATAAGCCTACCTGGCTAAAAATCGGATTTAATGAAATCGGAAAGCGAACGGTGCTGGACATCGAGGTGACAATAATGAAATTTGTTTCGGTTTATACTTATCAGCTTCAGGAGTGTCCTATTGCAACTCCTGTGTTAAACGCAGCACTTGGACCTATACGGGAAGATATAATCAAGTATGTGAGCTGTATAGGAAACTCGACTACATCTGAATTTCTATCAGGAATATCTGGGGCTACAAAAAAGGTGTTTCGTTGCTTCTACGCGACTCCATCGAGCACCTGCCTTCCGATATATCATCTATCCCTAGTGCGGAGGACGAAAAACACATCTGTATTACGAACCACAAGGAAACTGTCCGTGAACGCGTGGATTCTACGTATTTCGAGTTTCCGGGACATTCATTCTTCCAAAACAACAATTCCGTGCTTGTTCCACTCACCTCATACGTAAAAGACGCGATCTTCCCTTCTTCGAAATCGTCCGGGCCCACGCATCTTGTGGATGCATACTGCGGTTCAGGTCTCTTCTCACTGATGCTTGCGCCACATTTCGACATCGTCGCAGGCATCGAGCTTTCCACCGAGTCAATCAAGTCGGCTACTGCGAATGCTGTTATTAACTGCCTCCCGGAAGGGAAATGCTCTTTTCTGGCGGGTGACGCTGCGAACATATTCTCGACAGTTTCGCACTTCCCCCCAGACAAAACGGCGTTGATCATAGATCCTCCACGCAAGGGCTCTGATGAAGCATTCATAGAACAATTGGTTCGCTTCGCATGTAGCACCGTGGTATATGTGAGCTGCAATGTGCATACACAAGCGCGTGATATAGGGATGATTATAGATCGCATGGAGCGAGAAGGGGGTGGGAGGAAATATGTCCTGGAGAGTTTGAGGGGTTTTGATCTATTCCCACAGACTGCGCATGTTGAGAGCGTAGCGGTGTTAAGGTTGGTTTAGCTTTTACCAACATCCGTACATAATTCCATCAGGTTGGCATCTTTGACCGGACAGTCTGGACTGATCATGACGCTTTTACGTCGCTAGTCTTTGTTATTACGTGCAGAAGGTGAACATCCTAATCAAGTACTATCAGGTGCTGATGCTCAAGCGTGATAATAGACCTTATCAGACTCATGACCAGACTCACTTCGAGACGAGGCTTCGTTTGACGTATCTTCGTCGTGCCAGCCGATTAAAATTTCCTCGCATCTTATCAATTGTGCGAACTTCAGGACCCCGGCTGCTCCACATAATACGCGTTCGCAGATAACTAGAGAAAGTAGCCGCAGAGTGCTTCTGGAGCGTGGAATTTGCGACTCGTTTGAGTGTGCCAAAACGCCATGTTTTGGGTGGTAGAAGATTTGCGCCTGCATCAAAAAGGTAATTTCCATAAGCCGTACCATGTTTCTAACATCATGATACCCACCCACCGGCGTATATAGACAAAACCGTCGTTCCCAGCGAGCATTTCTTGTAAACCAAATAAGCACTCGTGGGCTGTGTAATGATAACCGGTGCCACTTACGAGCGCGTCAACACTCATAGTTGCCTTTCAGACGTGGCACAAGCCGATAAGTCGCGTAATAGTTGGGCAGAAGAGTCTATCACAGGAGGACCTTCCGATTCACCAGCATGTCAACGTTCAGATTGGGCTTGTAGTTTTGCTGGCGTATAGTGTTTTGGGGAGTAGCGGGGGTCTTGTCTTGAGTCGTCGATGCATTTGGAAGCGTGCCGATCCGATCCGATCATACCAAGACCTTTGTGGTGACGTTGATCGAGTCATTCTTGTCGATATTTATTATTTTCCTAGTCATGTCCGTGTACTTATAAAAACATGGGTCGAACTGATTCCGCATATTTTCCCTTTGGTCACAATAGCTATGGGTAACAGAACCAGCATCGTATCAGGCCGGACGGCTGACTCTGCCAGTGCTGACCCAGCAAGCCCTGCTGCACTCGATGTAAGCGTCTCGCATGCTGAGCGTAGTCATGTATAACTCCAACATCGTTGCAGGCATCTAAGCTCAATATCACCCTCGCAAAGAAATTGAAGCCCCTGCAGCCCATCGAGACATTACGTTTCGGCCAGGTGAGCAAGTACCGCTGACAACCATATCCATGTCACTCTAATGATAATGTACCAGACGTTCGCGGACCACATGATCATTGCAACTTACGACCCTGAAATAGGGTGGTCCGCGCCTGAGGTCAAGCCATATGGGCCCATAACACTTGATCCTCAATGCTCGTGCTTCCAGTACGGCGGAAACGTCTTTGAGGGTATGAAGGCCTATCTTGGGCCTGATGGTAAGGCGCGCCTGTTCCGCCCAGATATGAACATGCGTCGAATGGAGAAGTCTTGTGCACGTCTCGCTCTTCCCGTGAGTATCATGATGTTTATGCAGAGTGTTTCTGACTTTGTTGTCCCGGTGCAGCCTATCGATGGAGATGTCATTTTAGAACTAATAAAGCGCCTGGTGAATATTGAAATGCGCTGGATACCCAAAGAATCGGGGTATAGTTTGTATATCCGTCCTACCGTCATCGCAACCCGCCCAGGTTCGTGGAATGAGCCAATGATGTACGCATATTCACCTGATTGCAATCTAGGTTTGGGAGTAACGGCATCTGACCATGCGATGCTTTACATTCTTGCATCACCGACTGGGCCATACTTTACGAAGCCTGTTTCTCTCCTTGCGGTCAGTGAAAATGTGCGGGCGTGGCCGGGTGGAACTGGAGGGCACAAAGTTGCTGGCAACTATTCGCCTAGCTTCCTACCTCAACGCACTGCTGCAGAGAAAGGCTACGACCAAATCCTTTGGCTGTTTGGTGATGACAGAAGAGTCACAGAGGCTGGAGCGATGAACTTTTTCGTTGTAGTCAAGAGGGATGACGATGACGGTGAGTTTTAATCGGACATTAACATATATAAATGAACTCATCGGTTGAAGGCGTGGACCTCATCACTGCTCCTCTGGACGGAACTATTCTACCTGGAGTCACTAGAGCATCGTGTCTTGCCCTTGCAAGCGATCCAGAATTCCACGAAGAAATCTCAGTGCGTATACACCCGCAAGAAATGATATATACCATGCATGACATCGCGAAATGGTCATCCGAGGGCAAACTGCTGGAAGCCTTAATCGTAGGCACGGCGGTCATTGTCGGACCTTGCAATAGAATTGGGTACGAGGGTAAGGACATTGTAATTCCTGGGGCTGGGACGGGCCCGGTTGGTACGGCACTCCGGAAAAAGATCCTTGATATCCAGGAGGGTAGAACAGAGTGGAAAGGATGGGGCGTCGTCTGCTCTTAGTTATGTACAACACGTGTACTTGCCTGCTGAAACGGGTAATAGCACATGCTAAATGCGGGATGTGGTCCGTGCGCAGACCAGTTGGGCTTTATAAACGTTTGGTTCGCATTTTATTTCTTCATCTCTTGTGCTCGGGCATGTACTGTCGCCAGTGAGGTCTTTACCGAGGCACAGTCTTTTGCTGATTGCAAATTACACATCCGAACCCGTCTGTTAGCTTCGGCTTTCAGCAATTTTTGCAAACCCCTTCGCTGTGATGCTCAGCGGAGCAGAGCGAATCTTCACAAGAATGCATAGAACATTTTATTTGGACATGACTCTTTGGATGTTTGATATTGTCCTACTTGTACTTATGTACCTTCGATTCCGTGACTAGTGTGGCTTTAATAACATGAATTTTACAAGAATCATACAGCGAATGGATATTCAAAGCGCAAGTGATCTTCCTAGCAGAGTAGGCAACGGGTGAGATGTTCAACTGGTATGAAGACCCACAAGACTAAGCGAGCAGATACTTGCGCACATTGTCAAAATATAAAATGTCCGTGAGGAGATGATCATGTTGAAGCTTGGTGAGGTTAGACCTCCATCGGTCAGGTCTAAGACAGCCCCGAATAGCGTCCAGACTTTGAACACGGGGCGTAACAAGCACTGCCTTCGAAGTGAGAACGACATCCACGTCCCTTACTGTATGCATGCTCCGCCTCAAATTGGCTTCAAGTCGACCTGTGCGTCCTTAGAAAGCTAACGCGGCACATGAAACTTGCAAGGTCGATAAATGAGATATATTCGAGTATTGGATGTCCTTGGGTTGCTGATACAGGTGGTATGTCAGGTGCATGATGTTGGAACTCCGACTGAACGAGACCGCTATCCATTTCCTGGCCTGGATATGATCATGTATCCTCCTTAGTCAAGTCCGAGTCAGCCGCGCAGAATCAACGTCAGTACAAATCCAATAATATGCATAGTGTGTACGCATCTTGGCAGGTCCATCTGCGACTAATTTTGTAGCCTTTCGCCGCCATACACCATTGCTGGCCAGTAGACTTACACCCTGATGATAGTCGCTGACTCACATCTCCGACAAGGGCCGAAGTCGTCTCTTCCTAGCCAGAAGGAATACAGTTCCTTCTGATAAATCTCTCAAAATTCGGCCCGGATCAGAGCACTGGTGAGAAAATTAGATTGTCTTACATGCCATTACATGACAATATACGCAGAGCATATCCTTTATTTTCATCGCTGTATTACGACGTAAAGGCCCTGCAATCAACGTAAACGACCCATCAGTTTTTTGACATCTGACATGTGATCTCGCCATATACTTGAGTCTTGTGCATACTTAGTAAGTTGATAACAGAATGTACGTCTTGCATGGACGGATAACAGGGTTGACCCATCACTTGGATGGTTTGCTCTTCCTGCAGAAATTCTAGATCATTGTGATCCTGAATGTCACGATAACCCTCGATAACTTAAGCTGGTCATTCGGGTGCCTTCCTCGCAGTGGCTATCTGACAGCCAGAACGAACACTAAATTCTATAGTCACGCCACTGGATCGGCCACGTTGTCCGACGCACTACAACTATGGTTGGGGATATTTTTGATCAACGGCACCAGCAAAATCATGTGCGCTTTTGTCGCCCGCTTCATTGTTGAACCAACTGTATAATCATGCGCTCTTATTCAATTAAGTTTCAGCTCTCGCACGGACAAACTTTCAAGCCATGGCGGAAAGCCAGAATACGACTCTGTCGCCTACGGGGGTCCAGAGTATTGAGATACGATTCTCGACGTCACTCTCGTACGTACTGATCCTTTTCTTTTACATACGCAGTCACTTGGTGCGCCTCATATAGATCTACCTTTGATTCTCCGTCTCAATCAGGGTATCGATTTCTTTCCCCTAAAATAACTCGCCTCAATCTTTTGATCCAAGACTGAGTCCTTTTCCCTTTCTCCCAGCCTCTCTTCATTTGAGACAGAGTATGGATTTTCATGATACAGACACCCAAACGCATGTTTCCAGTCCAAAATCGTTAAATGAACCTATCAAGCTTGATATAGAACATGCAGTGGTTGAGGACGATCCTCGAATATGGTCGAACATCAAGAAGGCGCGTCTTTCCCTCTTGATTTTGTAACTAGACGCTGATAAATGATATCACACAGAACGTTGTATTATTCATGATATCTGGAGCATCGGTGATTTCGGGTTTGTGCGTGAATATACAGAACCGTAAGATATTTACTTGATACCATTGCAATATCGGCTGAACAGCCGGGGGACAGCCGCCAATGCTCAAATTCAGCAGCAGCTGCACACCAGCAGCGGAGACATTAGCCTGAGCTTGTCTCTTTTCATTCTCGTTCAAGGTCAATTCCCTCTAATTTGGAGCGCAATTAGCGAGATAAAAGGCCGCAAGGTTTGGGTTTCTACGCGTCTTGAGGGTGTCACTTGTTAATATTTTCGAGCTCAGACGGTGTACCTTTTCTCCCTAGTGCTGTTTACACTTGGATCGGTAATTGTAGCCATATCCAGAACCATCGGTTTGATGATCGGCATGCGTATCTTGCAAAGCATAGGGTAAGGTAGTCCATGGATCCCTTAATTCCTTGCTCACATGGAGTAGGGCAAGCGCGGTTATCACCATCGGAGCAGCCACTCTGGCCGATATATACGAGCCCCACGAACGAGGAACAATGATGGGTGTCTACTATTCTGCACCTCTCCTCGGTCCCTCGTTGGGGCCGATTATCGGTGGCGCGCTCACACAAGGCCTCGGCTGGCGGGCGGTTTTCTGGTTTCTAGTCATTTTGGGAGGTATAATATTTTTGGCATTCCTTTTCTTGTTCAAAGATACCTTCCGGAACGAGAGGAGTATGACGTACCAGAATGTATTGAAGAGGAGGCTCCAAGAGCAACCGTCATCAGGAGCAAAGAACGACTTGCGGATTATTTCAGAGAAGGAATTACAAGTAAATGTCGAAGGCCAGACGAGTTCGAACGACATTGAAGCACAGCCGACGGTCATACCAGCATCAGCCATTAGAAATGCAAGGTTGTCCATCGCCGATGTCAACCCTTTCCCTCCGTACCTATCGATTATCAGCCGAAAGAACAACATTGCTATCTTGATAGCATCAGGTGAGTACTCTGAGTTGTTCTTACTGAAGTTGTGGTTTCGAAGAATTCTCAAGTCCCTTTGCGCCAGGTTTAATCTTTGCATTTAGCTTTAGCATTGCATATACATGCGCAAGAACATTGTCAATGCACTATGATTACGATGCTTTGAATACCGGACTCGTCTTACTTGCCTATGGTATTGGTAAGCGAATCACAAGCAAACTACGAGTACCTTCCTGACGCATCTATCTTAGGCTCTATAGCCGGCAGCATGTTAGGTGGACGTTGGTCTGATCGGACACTTGCTCGGCTAAAGGCCGCGAACGGAGGGATCAGCTTTCCAGAGGTGAGCCACTATTTTCGGCTCATTTTATTCACGTTTGACGTGAACCGGTGTAGATGCGCCTCGAGAGCACAAAAGTCGCCATGGCGGGGTTGCCTCTTTCCGTGATTGGATATGCCTGGGTGTGCCAAGAACGGGTCAACGTCGCCGCGATGTGTGCGATGCTCTTCCTCGCAGGATTTTTATCCATGCATGTTTCTTTCGTTTCACACTGTTTTTTGTTCTCATCTGCGATAGATGGATCTACGCGAGTACGCTGGCATACATCGTCGACGCGAACGCTGGTCGCTCATCGACGGCAGTAGCGACCAACGGTTCTTTCCGCGGTCTGTTTGCTTTTGTTGCTGCTGAGATTGCTGTTCCTCTACAAGTGAGTCGACGTCGTGATAGCTTGCGGAACATCGCATCTGAGGTTGGTTTAGGATAGTATTGGCGACGGTGGTTTGTATACGCTTTGGGCGGGGCTGATGGTCATTGTTGATTGTATTATCTTACTGGTGTTGTATAAAGGCAGGAAGTGGAGAGAGGCTAGTGTCGAGCGGGAGAATCAGAAGCTGGATGGCAAGTAGACAATCATCGTGGCTTCTGAAGTTCGATGGGCCACAGATGAGTATAGATGATAGTACTTCATCGTTTCAGTATAGAATTGACGGCGAATGAGCCTCGATTGATGTATATACAATGATCCTTAGGATGTCGCGGAGCTGATGACTGTCATCAAATTCAACTACCAGCGACAGACCCGAGTGTGTTCAAGTTCAATCGAACAACCTTTACTATGTCTGTCCACTGTTGGAATTGAACGGGCTTGGTCCAACTTTGATGTCAAACTTCTTAGAAGCCACCAGAGGACCGTGGAAGCTGCGACTGACATCAGAAACGGCAGCAATATCACTGAGCGCATAACTTAGTAAGTGCAATCAGGCACGGTCACAGACTGCGAACAGAACGAGGGAAAATCATACCTGCACCTCAATAACCACCAAGTAAGGCTCGCCGAAGCTTTCCGCAGCCATGCAAAACGTTTAAAATACCAGACCGCTCTGCAGTGTCTGAATCCTCTGGCTACAGCATTCAAGATGTTCCGAGGAGATGAAGGTAACGATTTGGAACCTATTCAGCGGTGCTATTGCTGAAGGATCTTGAAAGACTGAAAATGCCTGGTAAGTATGCTACAAAACTGAAAGCGAGGCTCAATGATTTTTCATGTACTGCACGATGAATCTTGCAACTAGGAACACCGACATTCAAATTATTCTGAAAAGCACAGGCGACATGAAAGAAAAAGATCAATGCGAGATAACAAGATAGCAAGACAAAACACCCAGTTCATAAAATCGACAATTTCAGACCCGGAACTAACTGTGACTAAGATGATCCTGCAGCTTCAATGAGACGTTCCTTTGTGCGTAGGTCAGGTGTTGAATACACGAAAATCATCGAGAATGGCACACCTGTGCAAGTTTCTGTCCTTCGGATAATACAAGGATGCAGGACCGCAAGCCCTTCAAGCACCACTGCCTTTCAAACCAGGAGAGGAGGCGACGATCCCAGAAGACCTTGAATGCACGGTTGAGCTTGTGGTCCGTTGGATCCAGAGCTCGCGAGAGATGGAAGATCCAGTTTTGGCATGCGTACTTCAGAGCGTGAGAAGATGATTGGCTTCGCTCTCGTGCTTCGTCGGCAAAAGTCATGAACGCGGTCATAGCATGCATAACCTCGATGTCTGGACAATCTTGTAGGGATGCAGGGGTGGAATGATCTTGAGGCCTTAGCGCAAGGAATACCGGAAACATCAAGAAATCTGGTAAGCTCTTGAACTCCCGGATTACTTGAAAAGCTGGTAAATGGAGTTGTGCAATAATCGCGCCCTCGCTCATTGTTTCCAGCGTGTTCAAGAAGTCTTCCATCGTCACCCAGACAGACGCCGCAGGGGTCAACTGCCATGCTTGTCCATGGAATGTCTTAAGCCACCCTCGTCCGCTGTCGGTCTGCAGCCACTCTCGTCCGCCCATGGTCTGCAGCCACTCTTGCCCACTCAAGGTCAGCAGCCACTCTTGCCCGCTCTTCGTCTGTAGCCGTTCTTGTCCATGTTCAGTTTGCAGTCCACCTGGGGTCTGCATCCACTCTCGACCAGCCGGAGTGTGCAGCCATTCTTGCCCTCCTGGGGTCAGGAGCCACTTTCGCCCATTCTGGGTCAGGAGCCACTCTTGCCCGTAAAAGGTGTACAGCCATGCATGACCAATTGGAGTCTGCAGGTTATTTAGGATCTGTAAGCAGTCGCAACCACTCAGGGTCTCCAGCCAATTCCTTCCGCTCAGTGTCCCCAGCCACTCCCTCCCGCTGTATGTCTCCAGCCACTCCCTCCCGCTGTATGTCTCCAGCCACTCCCTCCCGCTGGGCGTCTCCATCCACTCCCTCCCGCTAGGCGTCTCCAGCCACTCCCTCCCGCTGGGCGTCTCCAGCCACTCCCTCCCGCTGGGCGTCCCCATCCACTCCCTCCCGCTGGGCGTCCCTATCCACTCCCTCCCGCTAGGCGTCTCCAGCCACTCCCTCCCGCTGGGCGTCTCCAGCCACTCCCTCCCGCTGGGCGTCTCCAGCCGCTCCCTCCTGATGGGCGTCGTCAGCCACTTCCTCCCGATGGGTGTCTCCAGCCACTCCCTCCCGCTGGGTGTCTTCAGCCACTTCCATCCGCCCGGTGCCTCCAGCCACTTCCATCCGCCTGGTGTCTCCAGCCACTCCCATCCGCCTGGTGTCTCCAGCCACTTCCATCCGCCCCGTGTCTCCAGCCACTTCCACCCGCTCGGTGTCTTCAGCCACTGCCATCTGCCCGGTGTCTCCACCCACTCCTCCCTTCTCTGTGTCTCCACCCACTCCTCCCCTCCCTGTGTCTCTAGCCACTCCCTCCTGCTCGGTGACTCCCTCCACTTCATCCCGCTCACTGTCACTAGCCACTTCTTCCCACTAGGTGTCTCCATCCATTCTTGCCCCCTATCAGAATTCAGCCATTCTTGCCCACTTTCAGTGTCCAGCCACTCTTGCCCACTCTGGGTCTCCAGCCATTCTTGGCCACTCGAGGTCTGTTGCATCCATACTTGTCCAGTTGAGGTCAAAAGCCACTCTTCTCCGCGTCGGCTCCGCAGCCACTCTCCTCCAGACTGGGTATGTAGCCACTCTTCCCCAGTCTTGGTACGCAACCATTCTCGCCCAGTCTGTGTCTGCAGCCAGCCCTGCCCGCTGATGGTCTTCAGTGAGACTTTCTCACTCCAAGTCTCCAATGGCATATACTCGCCAGAGCTTCCAGCAACTTGTCGCCGTCTTTGAGCCCACAACCACCCTGGCCCACTCTGTAGCCATCCTCTCCCCCTCTCGGTCTGCAACCAAGTGTTTCCTGCGTGGGTTTGAAGCCAATCCACCGCGGCCCGGGTCTGGAGCCAGTCTTCCCCTTTCTGTGTCTGCAAATAGTTTTCCCCACTTTGGGTCTGGAGCCACGCATGTCCATCCAAAGTCCCCAGCCAGGACCGCAAACCCGACTCGTGAGCTCCCCGAAGCCATAACAGACCCATGAGAACCTGCAGCGGCTCTGGTGGCTCAACGATGAAAGCTAATGATTGTTGCAAGTTCCGGGGATTGCGGGGTTGCATAACCAGATTCTGCCTCTTCAATTCTAAGAGTGCATCCATGAATGCAGTACGTTTTGGAATGTCTTGGATCATCAAGCGGAAAGAGGAATAAGCGAGTAAGGAGTGTGGTGCGATGGGTTGTAATCCAGGGAGGCTGCAGTTTGAGGAGTCTGAAACATAGTCCCGAATGGAGGAGTGATGTATATTCACGGGCTGGTTGCTTTCGGCGGGAATATCCAGGAAAGATCGTAGCTGCACCAGTATGGTTGCAATATCATTGCCTTGACCAGGGCCAAGGAGCATTGACATCTGTGAGATCGGCAGAGGATCTGCGAGGGCAGCAACAATGGACAAGTGGTGGTATGCCCGGTTGGGGTCCGAACAGGTGGAGATGATACGGTTGTATAAGTCATATACTTCTGTCCCGGACAGCAGTTCATTCGTTAGCTCGAGCATGAGCTCAAGGCGATCCCGGGGGTCATTGTGTCCGTCGTCAACAAACTTCATCATTGTAGATGCCACGATGAAACGTCTGCCAGCTCGATTCGCCAGCCGCGCAAGTTCATCCGCAGTGGGCTGAGGGAAATCAGGATGGCGGCTTTGCAGCTCTGTGAAGGAATGCTGTAAGAATTTATAGATATCATTGTCAACATCTTCGCCGTCTAATGAAATGACGCCGGCGACACCCTCCCCAGAAATGTTCACTGGTATCTCGTATACTGGTGTGCGCGTCCCTTCTTTTCGAATGGCATTACGGATATGCTCCTCCAAGCGACTCGTGAGCAGAATGTGGATCACGGGAAGTTCAGGATCACTAAGAGCTTGTCCGAGGAGGGAGATGAGATCAGCGACGGTTTCAGGTTTGCATTCATCGAGGGCATCGATGACAAACACCGGAGGCGGACACTCGTGCAGCTTGAATCGCAGGTGCCAAAGAGGTTGGCGAAATAACGCCTTCATCTGGTCGCAAAGAGACTTTCTCGAGTCTAGAACCGCAGGATTGTCGATGATAGCTTTATTCACATCCTTCTTGACACTGGGAAAATTGCTCGCAAGCTGGTAAGCAAGGGTCGCAAAGAAATGGCCAGTCGTGCTGCGTTCCTTGCTATTGCGCGAGAAAAAGAAAGTGCCCGCAAGCCTTGTTCCGGTATCATTTTCTGTTATTTTCAGAGCTTTCATTCTCTCAGCTACAGTGAATGCCACGGCAGATTTTCCGACGCCTGCCGTGCCATGCAGCCAAATGATTTGACTCTTCTCTTGCTTGTCCAACAATCCGTCGATTAATTTGAGAAGGTCCACTCGGGTCCCTTCCAAACATTTCGCATGTGGCTGGCGTTCAGAGGAGTCATATTGAGCACCCAGGACGGCGACCTGGGACAGCTTTTCCCAAGTTCCTTCGGGCATTGCTAGAAAGCTCGCTAGAAACTGTCAGTTACATCAGAGAGCGCGATGTGATAAGGGAAGGAAATATTTACATCGATCACGGTCAAGCTTATGAACAGAGGTTAATGATAGAATATAACACGAAATAGGAGGATGAGTCGGGGAAGCACTAGTTCAGTTGGCGTCGTAATTAGAAATCGTGATCGCGATGGCTGATGGGGCGACATACGATGTTAACCGAGGAGTCGATACGTAAGCTGTAAATTCGTTTGAAGTCAAAAGAGTCTGAGGGGTGAAACAATTGAGCAACGAAAATCAATGCTTAGAAAGGATGATTGAGATAGAATGGACGATTGGTTACGATTCTCGATGGAACGTTGAATGCGGTCAAGTTAAAAGATGAACGGGCGCTTGTCTGGCTGCAGAGGCTGCACAGGAAGTTACGACGGCTGGTAAGTTACCAAAATGATTCGACTCCTGAGCGCTCGGTGTGCGAACAAAATATAACCTGGCGTCATGCATTCATGCTTGCAATGCGCGACCCCAATTCGATGATCGAGCAAAGTGTGGCCATGCTTTCTATCCAAATGATGCATCATACCCTGGGGCGTAAAACTCTATGCGCGCGTCATTCTTAAGAGTTGCCTGGTGCCGGAGCAACTTTGCATTTGCTAAAATATTTTTGTTCCATTACTCAAGCCTAGGATGCTTGAAATTTGAAGCGCGAAGATTTGCGTAGAACTTCAAGAAGCAGCTGAATTCGAGGTAAGAATAGCATTTGAGTTCAAGTTGTTGTCGCAGCACTTAAGCTCAAGCTTGGCTTGGATGACTGAGTTGGTTCCCACAGCTTCTAAGTTCTCACACCACATCTGAATGGCAGTGTAAATACGGCGGACGTGACCTTGCCTTGTGGGTCTGCGCTGTTCGTGGGCTCAACGATGGCATCAAGGTACTCGCGCAGTTCTGTACGCTACGCATTCAATCATTGACATGCAGCGCACATGCACGGTTCAAGAGGCAGTATGCCGACGACACCAATGATTGGAAAACATGCAATACATACAGTGTAAGCTATATGTTCCTTCCCTAATGGCAACCACTAACCAAACGTGTCTTAGCCATTGCAGATGCCATACTACCATAAGCTGATGTGGATACCTAGAACCCGAATGTCGTAGACTCGTAGGCACGCTCAACAGCCGGACAACATAGAAACCCTACCTCAAAGGTCTCTGTTGATACCGAGAAGTAATGTCTGAGGTGCGTTTACTGATGGAGGTGTTTACCAGTGTCTAGTTGTGACATCGGGGACCATGGAGTCAGGCTATTCCGACTATGTGTTCAATGTTCGTAAACGTCCTAAACCGATCATGGCCGAATTCACAGCAGGTCGAACTCTATGGCGAGGACTCAAGCGAAGGATGAAATCAAACTTCTGTTCAAAAATCCCTCTCTCGAGTCTCCATTATTCTTGCGTAGAAGCAACTTTCAGAGACAGTGAAGATAAGGCCGAGACTTTTTGGTTTCTTGGCAAGTACTTGAAGTTCGTATACAATCCTTTTCCCACCTCTCCTTCATTATCACCGCCGTCCCAGTCCCCGTCTTACACTATATCCTTCATCGCTGTCGACCCTCAGTCTCTTGTTCTCGTTGCTGTCACCCCATTATTGGTCCGCTGTTTCCGAATCTGTCAAAACCACTACGCGACTCTCGTTATCCTACAACAACCTTACCGCCACTCGTTTAATCTTTCGTTTTTTTCTCTCTCTCTCTCGTTCTCACTACTTCAACTTTGTCAGGCCCACCGCCACTCCCTTCTGCCTACGTTTTCACATCATTGTTCAGCATAGCCATACCCGAGGACTCCTGACAGTTCGCGAGTGTAACTACCTCATGCACACTCATTTTTAGCAGCAGATTCAGATACTCTGGTTTCCCCGCTTCAGGCACAACAGAACGCCTCAAAAAAGTCTTAGTTTCTAAGGTCTTGTGGCACTACGGGGAAGAGATCCGGAACAGCAGTCAATATGCGCGGTGATAACCCTAGACAAACCGGCGAGGAGCAACCGAAATAAAGCATGGATCAAGATAACTCCCGAATTATGGATACTGCTGGCAGTGATACGGTACTCTTATTCATGCGCTTTTACGAGAAATTCCACGTCAGGCATCCAATATGCAATTGCGAAAAAAAAATTATTCCGACTTAGATTTGCAGGTATCGCTTTCGAGACAGTGGGAAGAATTGTGACTTGCGTACTGCTCGAGATTTTCGATTACGTGTTGTGTTGACAGTGCACCAGTCATTCAGGTTTCCCTTGTTTTGGACTACAGGGTTGGGTTGGCTCCAGCAGTTTGAAGACGGCAAACAATGACCGGAGTGAGATAGAAATCAGATCCATACAAACGACTGGCGATACAACAGAGGACAGGTCAATAAAAAAAGACGACAAACTGGTGTTTGTTCTATGTTCCGAACACGCCGTCCACTAAATGCTCTCTCCACGCACTCCCCACACTGGATCCGGGAAATATGTCGCTCGATAGGACCTTGCGCTGGATAACGACGCTTGGAACGATGCTGAAAGCACGTAATCGGCCACTTTCGATAAGCCAACTGAAAGCTTGATCAAGAGCTCTGGAATACGCGAATGGCGGGTAGCGAAGATGCTGCAGAAGACGTCGAGCACCGGACAGAGAAAGTGCGTAAGCATGAGTACAACGTGGAGAGTAAGATGGGTGTATGTGTGACCGTGTTGACAGGTCATATAACGGAGACATGACCTGAGGCGATGGAAGTGCAGGATAGAAAGATTCGTTTGACCAGCAGTGACCTGAGGAATACGATATAGCATCAATCGGAGACAGATTGAAACCGGCGCTCACCCAGAAAAACCATGTCCCAGCCATGTGGGAGAGAGGGCCAGATGTGATGCATTCTTATTTCGATGTCCTTTTCCATATCGATATCGTCTTCCAAGAAAACGGCGACATCCTCGGGAGTGGTACTCACTCTATCAATGAATTGTCGAACGGCAGAGATATGGGAATACCAGCAAGAGATCTTTGGCGCAGTGAGGATCATCCAGTCCGGGAGGCTAGGGCTGAAAGACGGTACAGAGTGATCTTGAGTTGCGCACGTGACGTTCGGATGTTGCGAAACACCAAGAGAGGACAGGGTGGTATGTCGGCTATTTTGAGTGTCCGCAGAAGAGGTCCAGAGGTCGGATCCAGAAGCTCCAAAGTCCTCTGTGGAAGCAGCAATGGCGTTGACATCAGCGGGCCAACGGAAGACTGATCCCAAGTCGTTCCAGTGTTCTTTGGAGGGCCGCATCGAACGCTGAGAGACGATCCGCTCGAAAATATGACCGATAGTAACATCTGAAGGGTCGAGTGCATCAACAACCGTCCAATTGATGTCTTTGGATGTTTGCAAATGTTCCATTTGTTGTCGCCGGTCTTGTCGCCAAGGCAGAGATATGAGATACACGTGAGAGGCGATACCTAACTGTGTCGATGAGGGAGAGAAGGAACTTGTAGAGTTCTTGGTAGAACACGAAACCTCGCTATAATGTTCTTCTTTCCAAGGTACGCGAGGAGAATGGAAAAAGGGTGGTAACATCCTCGTCGCAAGCATCGACGACCATAAAACCAAAACAACGCCCATAATGAGGTATAGATATCTCGCAACGCCGGCTCGACACACGAAAAGGCTGGCAACCATGGTGGTATTGGGTAATGTGCAAAGCAATACTTTATTATGTAATACAACCCCTCCGGGTCATGATTACGTAAGTAATAACACCTATGTCCACGGTTTCAAATTTCAATTTCAACATTTAACCTCTTCAATCAAAAGCAGATCTGGACCTAGCCTAGAGCGTTCCAGAGCACTTTCGAATATCAAGGCGAAAGGTGGTAAAATGTCAGTTTCCCCGCTGTGTGGATCACAAGTCTCTCACACAAGCCTTGCTGAAGTAGGTATACCGGTAAATTGTAAGTTTGTAAGACTACATTTCATTCTGCAGTACCCAGTCTCATCGACAATCAATACATAGCACAGACTTTCCCGGGCACATAATAATATGCGAAAATGATTATACTTCGGGCTGGCTCCTAGAACTTCTCTCTGCTGTCACTTTGCCCTCCATCCTGCAAGTGGATGAGTCATAATTCAAGGTTGGATTTGACGGTGGCGTTTATAGTTGCGCAGCCTTGAAATTAACGATAACTTGAATATAGAATTAAGCAGGCTTCAGTACCATCTTAGTCCTACCGTGGGGTCCCAAATGTCAATTTTTGACGACTGTGTGAGTGACATCCCCAACGTTAAGTAACCTTCGTGTGGCTGCCACTTTTCGTGTCTCTAGCTTCCTTATATAACCTTTGCATCTTCCCTGCCCGTCACTTGCGACCGTTCAATCGTTGTCTTAACCATTTTCTCGTGGGTATAGCACAGACTGAGAGCTCGGATATCTGTTCCACCATAACCCTCTTTCGGTGACCCGTTTTGTAGTCATGTCATCTTACACCCCACAGACAAATCTCTCTCTTGAAAGATTTCGCCTCGATGGAATGATCTTATCGTGTGTGTTCTACGGTGTGTTTTCAGTCCATATGCGACGCTCCGGAAGTTGATTTATGTATCGCAATAGGCATATACTTCGTCCTCACAGTGCAAGCCTGGAATGCTCTCATGCAACGGCCTCGACATGGGGAAAAAATTGCAGATCATCGTTGCGCACTTCTTTTCTACGTTTTTATCACGTTCGTATTGGCGACGATAAGCTTTGGTCTGAACGTAAGGTATACGGAGATGATCTGGATTGATCTTCGTGATGCGCCTGGTGGTCCTTCCGCGTTAATCGAGAACTACATGAGTTATCGTATCAACTTTATAGCGCTTGTCGGGTAAGTGTCCTCGTCCATCCACCTCCGGGTTTCTAGTATTGACGCCCCGTCTAGTGGTCACCTCCAGGAGTGGTTTATGCAACTTCTGCTTGTGAGCCGACTGTTTCCCCAGATCGTCCAATACAAGCCTGATGCTTGAAATTCTTAGCTCCATCGATGTTTTGTGATCTGGGACTGGTCAAAAAGGGTGGTGGTCCCGATGATCTCACTTTATGTCACCATGATTGGTGCAGTCTATCATTCACCGAGCGACACCAATCACTGACATCTTGAGCAGCATTCTCCATCATCGTCATGGTTGAGGCGAGCACTGGCGCCAAATTTTACAACATCATCATCGAGCTCGCCTACCTCTGTGTCGAAGTAGGGCTCACTGTTATCTATACCATTCTCGTAACAAATCGCTTGTTCGCCATGCGAGGGCGTATGAGGGAGATCATACCCCAATATGATTCAAGCACATACAATACCATTGCCCTCATGGTTGTCGAGTCCGCAGGATTATACACTATCTTCGCTATTGCTTTTATAGTCGCCTTTGGTATGCATTTAATCGGTCTCACCAGTCTATGTTTCCTGGCTATTTGCAAAATACAGGTAAGCAAACAAATCTGGGTTTATGTGTCTATGATACTAGTTATTTCAGGGCATTGCCCAATTGTTCATCATCATTCGTGTTGCACAGGGGCGGGCAGTTTCAAATCAGTGGTCGAGACCAACTACCGCGATGCCTACTACATCCCTAGCATTCGCAGGGAATGTATCTCACTTAACGGAGGGGACCGGCAACGAGCGAATAGGGAAGTCAGAGCATACCGTCGTTCAGTTGTATGCTGATTCAGAGAGGGCGACGGAAATTACTGTGTCTGCAGTATCATCCCCCTCTATGCATGTGCATGTGTAATATAGCCAGCAGATATGGCATACTATATATGGTCTCATCTTGGTCATGCTTGTCATTCCTTCTCCATGATACGCTCAATTCTTCTCCGAGATTAGTACATACATATGATATTTGTACAGTTAGCCTGGTTCGATTTACGAATACCGGGTGGATGGTGGACAGTTGGTAACGGACATATCCTTTGACTCAATCCAACAAGATCAAACAACCATCATTTACCGACGGAGTATCGGCATCTGCTACATCAGCAAAAGTCCAAAAGGTAAATATCGTAAGCTAACTTTGCCCCGAACGCGAGACACCAAAAAATTCTTCGTGTTTCGACTGTGAAGAGACGTTAATGCGAAAGTGCCGCCAACCATTAATGTACATAGACTTATTCCCACAACAATGTTAAACTAGCGTGTTCGCGGCCAGTGGTACCAGTTCACAAAGTAATCACTCAGAGGTGCAAGAAGTCCTCATACCGTTTGTGGATGCGTGACGCTGACTAAAGGACTCGGAGCGCCTTTCTATTACATGTCTGTTCTCGCACCCTTAGTCGACCAGGTCATCACCATCCTTCCATCGTTTACTCTTGAGAATGGGAGGGTATTGCGGGAGGTCCCGGTCGCCTACAAGACTTGGGGCAAATTGAATGACGCTAGAGACAACGTTATGATCATATGCCACGCATTCACTGGCAGCGCGGACGTAGAAGATTGGTGAGATCTTTTCACATTTTATTTCAAAAAATTTCTTATGCATTCCAGGTGGGGCCCTCTTATAGGACATGGGAAGGCCTTTGACCCCAATCGTTTCTTCATTTTCTGTGCTAACGTCATGGGCTCACCATATGGATCGGCTTCTCCTGTGACAATTAATCCAGAGACGCAAAAGCCTTATGGCCCAGAATTCCCTCAGACATCGATACGTGATGATGTGCGGTAAGTGGGTTCTCAATATCTTGAATGGTCTCTGATCTAGTTCATTGACAGACTGCATAAGCTCGTTCTTGATCATCTTGGGATTTCTAGTGTCGCTGTAGTCATTGGAGGCTCCATGGGTGGAATGGCTGTACTCGAATGGCCTCTGTGCACCCCTCCAGGTTATGTCCGCCATATTATTCCTTTGGCTACGTCTGCACGACACTCTGCGTGGTGTATCAGTTGGGGAGAGGCACAACGTCAAAGCATTTATAGTGATCCACTTTATGACGACGGATACTATACGAAACAGCCTTCGACGGGTTTGGCTGCTGCTCGGATGGCCGCACTTTTAACCTATCGGTCGCGCGACTCTTTCGAGAGTCGCTTTGGACGTCGCCCTCAAGTTACCCCTGTCCCGGAATCTAGCGCTGTCGCACCTTTTATTACGCTCGCTGATAAGGACCTTGCTGCTCATAATGAGGGTCACAAAAATGTGACCCGTACATGCCCCAAAACTCAACACTCAACCGCATCATCTCCGCCTCATTCTCCAACAGAAGGGCCGGACGGCATGGGACATAACTCACCCCCTCCACTTTTCTCAGCACAGTCATACTTGCGCTATCAAGGTGCCAAGTTCGTGGCGCGCTTTGACGCTAATTGTTACATCCATATCACCCACAAGATGGATACGCATGATATCGCTCGAGGACGGACCTCCACTCCCGAAGATCCTCCATCATCGACGGCACAATCAACCGCCCTTGCCGCCGTCATTGCAACTCTTCCCCCGCGTGCATTGGTGATCAGCGTTGAAACGGACGGCTTGTTCACTCCTTCTGAACAAAAGGAACTCGCAACACATATACCTGACGCAGAACTTGTAGTCATCCCATCGCCTGATGGCCACGACGGCTTCCTCCTCGAATTGGAGCAAATTAACACGCATATCCTTAGATTTCTTAGAAGGGAGCTTCCGGATTTATATGAGAGAGATGAGGAGGATGTTCCCGAGGGGGACTTTGTAATCAAGAAGACGAGCCTGTTTGGAGAGGCTGAGGTAGATATTACAAGGTGGTAGGGTTTGTGTAAATAAGGCATGACCGTGAGGCGCATAATTGATAAGTTTGACGGTAAACCAATTATATTGTGCACGTCAACGGTGATCATCGAAACTAAGAGTGAAATGTGTTGATTTGGTGCGGGTGCGGCAAAATACCCGTGTCACATATGGCGCGTCACGGCCGCGTCAATTTCACCTGGCCCTATGAATAATATAACATCTCAAACATGCTCTTGAGATTTGCGCCATCTCCTACTGGTGCTCTTCACCTCGGTGGACTCAGAACCGCTCTTTACAATTATCTATTCGCCAAAAAACACGGAGGCAAATGGATTCTCAGAATAGAAGACACAGACGCGGTCAGTTCCATGTTTCTCTCGCGGCAAAAACTCATGTGTGACCCAGGCGAGATATGTACCGACCGCGGTGGATAATATCAGAAACGCATTGGCATGGGCTGGTCTTCCGTATGACTTCGGTAAGGTGTATGTTACATTCTGGCTCAAAGCAGCTCAAATAATCTTCATCTAGGTCCTGAGATGGATGGTCCGCATGGGCCGTATTTCCAAGTCGGTATCTCACAACCTGTTGCATGCCCCGTATACTGAGCTCCAACAGTCAGAACGACTTGAACTTTACCATTCTTATACACGCAGGCTCCTAGACGTGCGTCGTGTGCTCGTTACTTCTCCCTTCTTTCTCTAACCATTGATAATTCATAGTCTGGTCACGCATATCGGTGCTTTTGCTCTCCCGATAAACTTGCCACCACTCGCGAGAAGCTTGCACGCACAGGGTCCAATGCTACGTATGACAAGTCCTGCCTCCATCTCACCGAGGAAGAAGTTGCACGGAGAGTACGTGCTGGGGAGAGGTCCATCGTCAGACTGAATGTGAGTACATTTATTGTATTGGAATACCTCATCCTTACAGGTGACAGGATGACAACCTCCCAGACCGTACTTCACCCACAGATATGGTCTTCGGTATCCTGAGGGATGCACATGCCTCACTTCCAACAGATCCCGTTCTTCTGAAATCTGATATGTTCCCCACGTACCATTTGGCGTCTGTTGTTGACGATCACGAGATGAACATTACACACGTTCTCCGCGGAGAGGTAGGTCTCCATCCCTCTGACACGACGTCCTTTGAATTTCCTGCATTCCAGGAATGGCTACCTTCACTACCGCTGCACCTCGATCTGTATTCTTGTCTGGGTCTCAAACCCCCTCAGTTTGCACATTTGCCCATCCTCTTGAACCCGAATGGAACAAAGATGTCAAAGCGCAATGGAGATGTGTCTGTCTCAGACTTTATGGCACGCCGCTTTCATTTCCCTACGAACTTTGATTTGAACGCCTATTTTTTATAGCGCCGTGGTTGGGAACCGGAAGGTGTTTTAAATTGGCTTGCACTGGCTGGGTGGGGCGTGCACCACGAAAATGGGCGTACTTCCCCACCCAGTACGCCCTCGACTCAACCTCCTGACAGTACAACCCTTATGACACTTCCAGAACTCATCGACCAAGTGCGTTGTGACTATTTCATGGTTTTTGCATGTTTCACAACGGGTTTATTCGGTAGTTTGATCTGTCTTCCGTTACGCATCGCAGGAATGTTCTTGATCCCGCAAAGCTTGCATACCTTAACAAACATCACCTTATGCGGAGCTGGCAGAGCGAACAGGGCATTGCCTTCCAGGCAAGACGAGTACACGATGTTGTCAAGGCCGCTTTCCCTCACAGGTATCTTGTTCGTTTATTAGTTTATACCCTTATTGACTCGGCATCCCTAGTCAATACACTAATGTGGAGTACATCACGCGTGTGATCAGCGTCTTGCAGGTGAGCATGCGTTACCTACTGGATGAACGTATAGCTATAGTGCTCCCAGGGTCGCATCACGAATCTTCATGATGTTCCAACACTTGCTCCGTTCTTTTTCGTGGAGCCAGATTATGAATTGTCCGAAGCGCGTTCCATGAAGCGAGGAATATCAGCTGACGACTACGGCAAGTCGCACACTGTCAGTAATCAGCATTACTGATCGCTTTACATCATTGTAGACCATGTGCTACGACGAGTTATTCTGCAACTCGAGTCTTCATCGCCATCGACTCAATCGGACATTGCAGTTTTCTTGCACGATGGGTGCGAGAAAACAGGCCTGAAGTCAAAAGTCTTTATGACTGCTTTGAGGCACGCGCTATCTGGGATGAAAGCGGGGCCCAGCCTCCCTGAGATTATCGATGTACTTGGCACCGAACGGACAGCAGGAAGGCTGAAATTGGCGCTCCTGCAAACGAGCGTTTCGAAATAAAGTAAACATCATCGAATCTCTAATTGTCCATTTGCACCCGTTGTATACATGATCTGTGAGTAGTATGCATAACTTGCTAAAATCACGAGATAGCGTTCTTTAAAAAATCAAAGTGTTTCCCATCCTCCACTGTCGACCGTGCTCTCGAGTTTACGAGCAACAGCAGTTGGAATGCCGTGGTTGAGCCACGTTCTGCGGACTTCTTCCCATCTAGCTGGGTGTATGTATTGACGACGACCGCGTCTGTACGTCGCAGTTGAGCATTCAATTGAAATTAAGCGGTAGAACAGACTGACCTCATTGAGACATCAACTTCACCATGAACATCAAGGTAAGGAGACTGTGCAAATGTCCCGTTGCTGGCGTACAAATAAAGTAGAGAGCATCGTTTCACGACGAAATAAACACCAATAGCACCACCGCATCTGCAATCACAAGGAATCAGCATCATTTAGTGGCATGATGTGGGAGGAAGCTTACTCTCGTGTATGCAAATTACACTCCCCCCTAAGTCCCAACTCGTCTTGACAACAGTGGCTCACCATACAGCATGTTACTCCGCAAATCAAACAGATTGCAGCATCCGTCGGAACGGTGTTGCATCGGTGGCATTTCATCACCTTGTCTCGCTCACCAAAAAGGTTATCAAGGATGAGTGGCAGACGAGCGATCCCGTATACAGCCGCGTAGTCAAGTACGACACCACAGTTGAGTTGCGAGGCAGCATGTGAGTGGCCATAGTGGGCGCACCATCCGGAGAGTGCGTTTTGAAGCGTATCTTGGTTGGGGAGGTCTGACAAAGGAGGAATGCCAAGGGTAGCGAGTAGACGCTTGTACTCATTGACGTTAGAGGCGCCTAGTAATGGAGTTGGAAATGTAAGCGGGACGACAGAACGACACAAGATTGCTGCCCGTCTGAGGAATGGAAGAGTAAACGCATAAAGCATCTTCTCGATGCGAGCTTCACCAAATGCATCAAAAACTAGCGTAGCAGTGTGCTCAAAGACGGGTGAATGTCGCACCACCGACATAAAGAACATACGGACATCGCCGAAGATATCAGCATGGGCTCGAGCAGCAGGCTGCTGGAAAGCGCTGTACGTCCTAGCCTTGTTGAGAACATACACCATGCCGATGACTGTGCGAGCCAAGCAGGCGTAGTAGCACAATATCAAGACATGCTGCAACATCTCAGGAGCCACTGCGGCGGTCTCGATGAGCACGGTGAATGGGTCGCGTAAGAGTAAGGGGTACGAGAAGGAGGTCAGTGATGTTCGGCTCCACTCTGGGAGCAAGCGTTTGATTATGGCTTGCTTGACTGATTCCCGGCCACCATCTGGCCGACCGTCCAATTCAAGAGCGGATAGTCTTGTCAAGCTGGCAAGTAATCCGCGGATCATTCTACTTTGCGTATCCGACAATGACAGCGAATCCGCCACAATACCTCCCGAGGAGTCAGTTCCACGAGCAGCAACCTCGATAGCGGAAATTGTGTATCCGACAAGGTCTTCGGGAAGATACATTCCCGCGCCTCTTTCTCCTACTTCTGGTTCAGGTCGCTCACGAAGATGGCGTGTTTGTTGCGAGACCAGTCTTGATGATAACATGAGGGTGTCGAGCATCTTTGTCGAAGCTACTGCTTCTGGCTTGCGCATGGCTGCGCCATAACCAGGATCTTGCGCGCTCCAGAACACAAATTCGCCAGTCCCACTCCTGAACTGCAGACCATCCATGACGCTGTCTGGTTTTGACTTCAAGACGCTTATCCCCGCGGCTCGAATCCAGTCTGGGAAGGGGGTGCGGCTTGCAGGAGCATTGTTGGGGTGAACAACAGGGAGAAGGACATTTCCCAAGCTCTTACAAAGCGGGCAGATGTACTCCTTGCGCTGAATTGTTTCAGGATGGTTTCTTGTCGCGTGTGAGCGGTGTCGCTGGCGAATGGAGGCATTGTAGACTTGGAAACAGTCTAGGTGCATCATGTGACCACACACAGATGCGTGGAGCCCGAAACGAGTGTACTGTGCAGGGAAGCCATCAAAGTTGGGCGAGCTTGTAGTGTCGAGCTCCTCCGCATTGGCTGGGGGAAAAGTAGTGTCGCGCGGACTCGCTCGATCGAGCGACTGAGGCATTGTCATAAGTTCGTTGAGATATTGACTATGGCTGTCTGGGTGTTTTCTGAGCAACCTGCTGGGCTGTATAAGCCCCAGAGAGCCAAACGCTTTGGCCTCATTGAGATCTTCCTGGCACACAATGCAGGTGCCATACGAGGGAAGTTCGTCAGACGTCTCATCCATATCCTGATCATTTTCCTCTTCTTCCTCCTCGAAATTGAGCGAAAAACTCTCTTGTTGAGCTTTCATCTCTGCCATGATGGCCTCTTGGCGTGCCTTAGCTGCGCGCTTCTTGACACCTTCAACATCAGGTGCAGGCGCAGCGGGGCTCAGGACTTTGCGAGGAGGCTGCACGCCTTCCGGAACATGCTTGGAAATCTCTGTCAGGACCCACTCAATGCGGCTCTTGTAGGGTTTGTATTTTTCATCGTGTTCCATGGCGCATATTAGATCGGCAAGTTTCTTTTCTTCTGCGAAGGGTTTGATGACAGAGACATGACTGAAAACAGAAGGTCGTTCCACGAGCGCTAGCATGATGAGCTGGAATGTTTGATCGAGGATAGCTTCAGCAGAGGGTGGGGCCGTCCCCGCAGTGTTAGTGAGCGAAATCACGTTGTGTATGGCATAAAACATGACCTGAAGAAGGGCTTCAGACTCCAGGACGGACGGGAGTATTGAAAACGGGCCGGATGTAATGGCCAACGGCTTCGGGACGATGACTGGGTCTTTCACACCTGTCTTCTTCCGAAGCCTGTTCTTGAGTATGACCTCCACTTCCTCGCGCTTGTTCCGCGTGTAGTGGAAGGTAAATGGATCCACCTCATCATAGGCCTCGTCCTTGAGCTCATACACGCCGGTGTCAGATGTCGACTCAGGCGCACGGAAGTGAGATACATCCTTGAGGACGCGTTCGAAAGATACGTCATCCACCATCCTCTCAGAGACGCGCTTGGCAAGATCAGTGAATGAACTTGGCCCCGCCGCGAGTGCGTGCACAATCTCGCGACGGATGGCACGCTGGAATGGGAGCTTCGTGGCACTGGCTCTCTCGCCGAGAATAGTTATAAGGACGTATAAAAGCTCCTCGACCATGCTAAGAAGATGGGCACCTTCATAAGGAGACTTCTCGACTTCACCGCGGAAGAACGAGAGGAGGCCGAAACGGTCGAGGATGGAGACAATGATGATATTGGGATCAAGGATGATGAGAGATGACTGGAGGATGAACAGGTCTTGGTCGTAGCAGAGCTCACGAAGCATGAAATCACGGTAGTGCAGAAGCTGACCGCGAATAGGAAAGCCGTTGCGGACCCATAATCCCGCCCTGATCTGGGCAATCATAGCGAGCACTGCGAAACCATAGTCAGACCAGCTGCAATATTAATGAATTTACTTACCTCGCAAAGGGAAATCGATTAATGTGAGAATGGCACCCTCATTGAAGGGGCGCAAAAACAAGTCCCGAACGCCAGACACCCCAATCTGCTTCAATGACTCCTCTGACAAAATATCCACGTGCTTCAACAGATCTGCAAGGAGCCAGTGAAGGGAGTGATGGAAGCTGACCCATCCTTCCAACACGTTGAAATCGACGATCTGATACTGTGCATCACCAAACTCGACCTCGTGCAGCATAGGCTTTGAAAATTTTTCCTTGTCGAGCCTATCTGTTGAGAGAGTACACACGGCGAGGATCTCCCGCACAACAGTTGTGATTGCTCCTACAAGCTGTGTTGGGTTCGCAAATGCGAAGGCTTCACCGTAGACCTTGATGACGCGGGAAAGCGAAAGTGTTACATTGAACACACTGATCCACACATCCGTCTCATACTCGACATGATTCGAGGCGACGCGCTTGTTTGGGTTGATACACATGAAGACCTGGCATACCTTGACAAATTTGCGTATGAAGGCTGGGTGACGCGCGATGAGCTGTTGGACAGGCCGGTTATGACAGAGATAGCGGAGATCACTAAAGACGGGCATAAAGCGTTTGCTTCTGAATGGGGGGCTGTCAACGTCTATGTCTTGTTGAGCAGGAGACGTAGTGAGGATGTGTTTGTCCGCAATGTGGTTGGTGAAAAAGTTGACGATGATGTCGAGCAGACGTGTCATGAGATCATGTTGAGAAACGATGTGCAGGGCAACGGATGGTGCAGTGAAAAGTTGGAGGGCGAAATACTTTATGGATGTTTCTGCTTCACGGTCAACCAGAAGATAAGCGTCAGCGACACGGTGGTAGGTGCTGGCAAAGTGGGACGCTGCAATACGTCAAAATGTGCTTATGAAAACGAGCGACGTTGCGGCATACCGATGGCAATCTTATGGGGATGTGAAAGTATCAAGATTGACGCATAAATTGCTTTCAAATGTATCCGGGGCTTCTTCCATAGTCGAGTATGATAGACGAATAACCAATCAATACGGCATGGACGCGCCAGATCCGCAGCGAGGTTTGGGATTTGCGGATTAGAAGTGAAGAACGTGCTCTCCCGTCGTCTCGGCGACAGAAGCTCGGCTGCAATGATTTCTTTGATTATTAGTGTATCCGACCCCAGCCGGCTTCGAGTGAGATCGAGCAGCCACTCAATAATGACACAAGCAACCTGCTCGCGAAAAGTATCGTATGCACGACGGATTGTGACACCGAGTTCAATTTTTGTCATCAAATGCGCTGCTTCGAGGAGTCGGGGTACGTCACCGTTGATGTCGATTATTTCTCGGCCCACATCGTCAATAGAGCGCGCCATGATGCTTGCTGTCTTCCTATCATGGCCAGTGGTCTCTGATATAAGCTTGATGACCTCATCAAATGAGTGCTTGTCGTCGTTCCAGATGATGATAGCGTATTGGTCCTTTTGCATAGGATCTGCTGAGGGCTGCAATCGTAGGTCAGCCTCATTCGAAGGCACTGTCGCTTCATCCGGGGAGTAGTCCAGGGTGTCAAGAATAAAGTCGAGTGCATATGCAATAGTGCGACTCATGAGATCATGTAGGTCGGGCGGGATAGCGACTCTGTATGGGTAATTCTCGACGTATGGAATCTCCTCAGATATAGAACGCTGTATGGTTCGAGGAGTGGCATCAGCTGCACTCAAGGACTGTTCAATCTGCGCTTGGACATGGGGAGAAAGTGGGTGGAAAGGACATGAGATAGGTTTACGCCAGGCCTCGATGTCTCCGCAATCGCAACAGCCCCCAGCTTGTTGAGCGACAAAGAAGCTGACGTTATGATCTGAATGATCACTGGAATGAAAACAGCGGCTACAGAGAACACAGCTATCATCGAGAGCGCAGTCTCTGAAGAGGTATTGTGAATGATTGACAGGATAGCGAGCGGGTTACTGACTTGCAACGAAAACAACTCTCTCCCTTGCTAAAGATATGGCCGCACGGCCTTCCAGGAACGATGGGATCCTCTGAACCTGCACCAGCAAAGCCCAGATCTACTTGAACGCTACTAAGAGTAGCGTGCATGGGGAGACTGGAATTGGATAATGGGAGGAAGAGATGCGAATACGGTCCCCAAAATGCATTGTAAAGCTCTGATAGAACCTCTGCACGGGTTGCGGGAGAGAAAATATACTTTCGTGAACTTGGCATTGTTTCGAGAACGTAGCGGAGTTGTGAAAGAGGATCTGATGGTCTGTCGCGAGGATTCATGGTTGCTGTAAGCCTTGTAGTGTTGAACAATGATATAAAACTCGACATTTTAGTTCAAAATGAACTTTCAATTGATCCGAAATCAGATAGACATGACCAGAAGATTACAGTGAGAGGGTCTGAGAGGCTGGCGGCAGTGCTGCTCTTATATTTTAATATTATTAATATTATTAATCAGGGCTGACCCCGACAGTGAGCTGCGATAGATTCGCATCACTAAGACGCAGCGAAGTGAACCTCGGGTAAGGCTAATTGGGATACAGAAAGTAACAGAAGTAGTACTACAGGCGTCCGCATGAGCATAACTGCAGGCGTCTCTGTGTCTCCGCCTCAGTGCATACATCTGTATCAACATAGGGATCCAGGTACATGCGAGAATCTGTATCGGTGCAGATATCCGTGTCCGCGAAATCTACGAAAGTTCGAGAGTCTACTTGTGCACGGTAGCAGGTGACAGGTGTTGGCAAAGACAGTATTCTCGTTCGCCACTGGATGAAGGTGTCGTGATGACTATGTGGATGATTTCCTCCCTTGACAGATCCTCCGGTGAGCAATCTGACAAGAGTTCACAACGATGAACTTCCTACACGACTTACGAGTAAGCTTGAGAGAACAGTGCTATAGCCGCACCTTGGGGTGCTCCCCCTATCGGACTTGCCCTTGTTGCATGCAGATGCACAGGAGGGTCTGGGTCATCAGAGCTCAGAGCTCACTAGGATTTGTAGCAGAAAAGAAAATCGCAGACTGCAGACAGGGTGTGGCAGGAGCTTGTTGAAGCCTAAGAGAAGCCACGTGGTGTACAACTGCTGCACGTGATGAAGTCCTTAATTATCAAACTTACTGCCGCGGCATTCTCGTGGACTCTCCTACTCTGGGGTATTACATTTTTCCTCATCACTCCCACTACTAGCACCGGCTCTGTCTCACTTGTCAAACTTCATGCTTTCAAGTCAGCACACAAGATGTGGTACATCCAGGATACAGACTCGGATTCAGACGCTAGCACATCTCAGCAAGGGACGACAATATTCACCTCAGCTTTTGTCTATGCGCGACTGAACAGAAGGATAATTTTGGAGGAAGGTTTATTTATTTTAGCTGCTTATCTTCAGCAATTGATTTTATTCTACAATTTCTACTTACTAACAACACGAGACAATGTTTCCTGTGCTATCCCGCATCGCCCGCGATACTTTCGTGATCCTCGCCGTTGGCGTCTTCATCAAACATTTGTTCTCAGGTAGCAAACACATACTGCATGTCTCTGGATCTGAGCGCTGATCCCCAGTGAAAACCCACTATGGCATGGCACGATGGGATCTGATTATTTTCTGATTGTAACGTCGTTGATAGGGTGAAATAGGGTAGATTATGAAAAGCAAATTGTAACCACATTGTTTAGCATCGTTCCTTGCGTCACTTTGCATTGTCCTTACATTACAGTTTGTCGTTTTGCATCGTTTCTTCTGATCCTTCGGAGCTTCACATTGTATCGCGCGCACATTGCATTGTATTTGCAGAACTCTCACACAATGTGGCATGACATCATCATTAACATTGTATTTGAGTCGTACGACTTAGTCATTTTCATCTTATCTTCTTACTACTACAATGTCGTCTCCCTCTGTACTATCATCATTTTTTATGGAGCCTCCCCACACCAATTTTTTTGTCTCCCAAGGCCATACATGTAAGTGGTATTGTTATCATTCATAAACAGGCTTGATTTTTTTAACAGGAATCGAAAGGGTGGGTATATGCCTTCAAAGAGCACACATGGGCACCCGCCAGTTCCACCTGAGTCATTGGAGGGTCTCTGGCATCTTTTCTTCGCCAAAGGCTGTCAGTGTGAGTCTTCTTGCTCTCATCTTTTGGCCTGCTTACTGGACACTGATGGTGCTCTGCTCTGGTCATGGCATGCTCTCAGACGGTGCGTGATCTCGTCTTCCAAGCCTTCTTAGCGAACACTGACTCTTTACTTAGCGTTCCCCCATATTTCACTCTATCTTTGATGGATTCACGCACACATTGTTTCCTATATTCTTTACAGTGACCCGTTGATATCCACAGGGAAACGGGTACAGGTGCGAGTATGACTGCCCACACCCACAGGTTTACCCATCTGGACGTTCCAGCTGCTATGCGCCCTGCACCTGCCTGTATGCTGCCGCAATACCTAGTACTACTCATGTCATACACTGTCATAGCATGGGGGACACCATGAATAAAAGTAGTCCTCGTTGTTGGTTTTGTTCCTGTAGATCATGAATGAATGTTCGCTGCTAGTGCTTCCAAGGTCAGAGAATTAACAATGTCGTCTGAACTTGGTTAGATTGTCGTACTACAGCATATGCATCAGATAAAGAACACTAGTGCATGTCCATATGTATATGGGGCATGAGATAAACTATCTGCAGCGTTGACCATAACACCTATTTTCGGGTACTGCAATTTTTCCATCTGCCAGTGTCGGTACTTACATACTTCAAAGACTCATAACCTCATGTCCGGATACGAAGAACTCAAGAAGTTAACAAGTCCATGGCACATGTACAATACAAGTCATTCGAAGAGCGGTGTTTGGTGAAAAGTAGGTATTCTCATCAGAAGAACCAGGAACTAAAGTTTAAACCATTGCGGCAACGTTGAAGTTAGAGTAAGAGCGCATAAACGCCAACTTTTAAATGGAATATGCGCGCCTGCATACTTCCATGATGTGAGGTATATTATGACTCGAGTGGCTCGTCGGACTCCTGAATATAATAATGAAAAAGGCCGCATTAAAAGAATGTTGACCCTTGACGTGTACCTGATCTGTCCATTCGAAAGATGTTACTCACCTACAATTGATGGTTCGTGCAAGTGAATATCCTGCAGACGAAGAATCATAAGTATGAAAGCACATACAAGGATCATTCACATGACTGTTCCATAAACAGAACACATCTACTTCACGAGTCGTAATCAGGGGTATGAGCAAATGAGAATTCGTGCGTACGTGATAGGACCCTGCATTAGCAAATGAGGAACATCATACGTTATGACGGGCGGCTGCGTCGCTGATGGATTTTAGCGCGGGTCACTGGTGAGGAGATATAAGTAACCCCCCAGCACGTCAAAATAGGAAAAAAAGGCCAGCACCAACACCAACGTTCAGAACCAAATATTGACAATGGAATATGCCCTAACATGACGCAGTTTGAGTTCAGTCCATATGATAAGTACACAGTCACCAGTTAATTCTTGACCGTTTGGGCTCTGGAGCGTTGTCCGAAACAAGACTCCAATGAATGTGAGGATGGCGGGATGAGAGGTAGTAGCATGCATTGTAGTTACGCCATGGTTACACCGATATTATAATCATGAGAAGGTTCGTTGAACAAGAGGAATAGCAACAGATTTAGGAGCCGAGGATTGCGTATTGTGCTGTGCTGGTGTGGGCGGTGGGAGAAATTTTCTTTAATCAGATATTGAACCTTACGAGTCCTATGCGAGATTGTACTAGTATGTGGTCCTGTGTCTAGAACGTCTCCCGTGCTGGTTGGCCATTAATACAAAGGTCGGAGCTTGACCTTTTGAACACCTGGGGCCAAGACCCAAGGGTTGACACGCACTGCGCCTAGCGCCTTACGGCATTTTGAGAGCCCCTTCAGTGAATTCACCCGTCTCAGATGGGCAGCCAAATGTGACAATGTACCAATGGAAACGGGCTATCCCATGTGGGCCCATGCCAATAATTGTACCATGATACATGGGTGGGCCGAGGTCATGCGTGTACCCAAGACAAATGGATGGGCCAGGGGTATATAATACAGACAGTAGTATAGGAATGTACTAGTATACAGGACATTATGGTGAATCCGGTCTTACAATGGAGACGGGTAGGCTGAGGGAATGTATTCTTGAGGGACATGGATGGGCCGAGGGTAAAAAGTATAGACATTGGTATATAGATATACTACTATATGGGACATTATATGTAATGAATACAGTGTGCAGTGGAGACGGGTGGGCCGGAGGAATGCGTGTACCCACATGACAGGGATGGGCCGAGGCCAGTTACCGGAGAGGAATGGGCCAGGTGCAGAGGAGGAAACAGATGGGCCGTGTATACAGGTTGTCCGGACGGATGTGTGTACCCACTCATATGGATGGGCCGAGGCTGATTACCGGAGAGGAATGGGTCAGGTGCACCCGAGGATGTGTACTTAAGGCAAACAGGTGGGCCGGAGTATGTGTGTACTCCAGGCAAACAGGTGGGCCGGAGTACGTGTGTACTCGAGGCAAACGGGTGGGCTGGAGTATGTGACACCGGACATCCGGTCAAAGTTATCATCCGGTCTCTACGAGAGTATGTAGTATAGATCAGGTAGGTACTCAAGGGGCCATCTGACTAAAATTCGTATACAATGTGTACAATAATGTCTCTACACAGAGGCACTCTGCTCGATCAGGTCACCATATTTCACATTGCCATATTTTGTGTACTCTGTTCTCGGAGTTCCAACAAAGTTATGGATACTATCTCGCATGTACCATGCAGTGACAATCTGGTTGCCCTCCTCCACGTGCATATGATGTCTCACAAGCCGACACGATGAGGCCAACATTGACCTGGAGTTATATAAGAATTTTATCCCAAGATTAATGAAATCCATGATGACCGGATGGTAAATACCTGCGGTGGTCATGATATCAAATGCCTCCGGTCGACATTTCAGATCTCTATGAGGTGGTGACTGACGATTGCAAATGACTGACACCACATTGAAAACAGATGTCCAACATTGTAAATGATAGCACATATCATGCAACTCGTACCGGCTCGCCCATTCACCCAGTCTGACTTGGGTTTGAATTCCGGCAAGATAGAGATCCGGATGCATGACACGAAGTGCAGCAGAGACAAGGATACCGGACCTTTGGAGGGAGGTCATGATATTGTGACCATCAACTCCCTTTAATGTGGCTGATACATCAGGTGAGAAACCATCTTCTGGATCAAGATTTGGGAAACCATATTTCTATGACACTTCAGATGGGTAACCTGAATTCATATGAACAGGATGTACCTCTCTTCCTTGCTGAAACCAAGCCGGAGATATATTGATGCAACTGGGGGTGATCTTCTCATCCAAACTCGGATAGAAATTGGACTTGTGAGTCCACCATTCAGTAGGCTTGCTGATCGTGATGCTATTGTTCAGCAAATTGCCCATGGAGTTTGTAGCACAATGCATATCTGTCTGGATACACCTGGATGAGATGAAATACAAAATGAATGCCAATAGATGACAGACCATTATCATGCCAGTCATGGCTCCAGGCAAATACCAGACAATAATTCTGCCCCCAG